TGACCGAACAAAAGATCCTCAGTGGGGAACTAGTATCATAATCTGGCAAAGTTGTTTCACTTCTGATTCAACATAATCAGAGGTCCTTAAATTATGTCAGCATGATGTTGAACAGGTTTGCAAAAACATGTCATCAGAGAGGTGCATATAAATGTTACTCTGTTGTTTATGTTTTACAAAACATTATAGGGTTTGGTACCAAGACGTCAAAAATATGCTACAAAAGATGAAATTATATACTTTATTTTTTTCCCCTTCCTGTCCATCTCCCCAGATGTGCATCGTCCTCTCAGCTCACCAATTCTCACTAATTACATCTCTGGTGGCAACAAATTCAATCCCATTCCCAAATAGAGCCGGACATTGGAAGATGCTATTCCAGAGAGAGTTTGAAATGGCTTCAACTGAACCAAGTTTGTGGACTTAAATATACAGATATGAAAGCCATCCAATATAAAGTCCTTACAGAAATCTGTCATTGCAGTAAAGCACCTTGAGACAGCTGTTTCCTGTCTGTAATTAACCTCTGTGCTCCCAAAACAGGATAAAGGCAAGAACAGGAAACTGTGACACCATGTTGATCAGTTCAGTTCCTTGATGGCATGTCTTTGTTTACACTTGATTGTATAGTTGTGTTATATTAAATGTTAACCTGGCAGCATAGGTTACTTTTTTCAAAATGAAAATAGAATTTAATTAAATCAAACTCAATGAAACCCAAAGATTTGTAACCCTTCATACCACTTTTACAACTTTTAACAGTAGAGAGGATTACCTTTGGTAAACCTGGTCAAGTTGGATATGACAAAATAAATAAGGATCTTTCTTTTTTCATTTTAGGGCCTGCACACCTATGATGCTTGGACTCTATTGGAACTCCTCCATTTATAAGGGTCCAAGCACTGAAATTGCACAGGGCCCTATTTTTTTTCTAAGGATTATTATTTATTTATTTTAATCGTTTGGGTGCTTTTGGGGCCCTTAACATGCTCAAAAACTCTTTGTACTCATGTCGCAATCGTCGGCCATTAGGGCATGGGCTTGGGGAGGGGGGTCTCTACAGTGCCCCCTTTGATCGACTTGGTACATATATCATACATTCTTGCACATATATGTAAGCAACTTTGCACACATGTAGTTCTCATCGAGTTGAACAACTTCTGCACTGCAAGACATATGTTCCATTCGACAGGAAGTCAGCTATTTAGAGTTTTGTGAAAAACGCATACACTGAACTTTTTAATACTCCTCCAAGGGGATTCAAGTAATTGCCAAGACATGATGACAAGACATTGAGGATGTTAAATTGCAAACAGTTTTTTGATATCTCGAACGGTTTGGTCATGGCAAGGCTATGAATTAATGACAAAAAAAAGGGAAACAGAAAGTCTATGTTCATTGAAGGAGGCTGATGACATGGATGTGACTATTGTGAGTCCATGTCATAGCGCCACCAACTGGTAGCAGGAAGTGTGTCACTTTCAAAATTCTCTGTAGTGGACCCTTTTTTTTTAAATCCTGGAGATTTAATCAGATCAACATCAATTCTAGTCAGTCTAATCCAAAGACCTCTGCGATGCTAAATTGTGAAGCTTTTGAGTTTTCATTGAAATGAGTGTTTGTGGTGGCCTGACAAATCTTTATGTTTTGGTGTGAAACAGGAGATTTTTGTAACTCAAACAATGTCCAATCTGCCCCCAAATTCCAGTGTTTGTTCAGAGTTCTGGCCTGTAGACATCTACATGCCAATATTCAGTTATAATCTTTGGCAACAGGAACTGACATGTTTTACACTGTAATACACTCACCTAACATGCACCAAGGTGTGAGGGCCCGATCAATGATGCTTGCGGCTTTAATTCTTTCTTTCTTTCTTTCTTTCTTTCTTTCTTTCTTTCTTTCTTTCTTTCTTTCTTTCTTTCTTTCTTTCTTTCTTTCTTTCTTTCTTTCTTTCTTTCTTTCTTTCTTTCTTTCTTACATTTGGACTCATTTCTTTATTTTAAAGATGATTTCACCAAGATGAATGAGTAATTTCTGATCAACAATATTCAGATAAATGAAATCCCCACATCTAAAGTCCTGTAAAATCAGAAACACAGAATCTCAACATTCTTTAAAAAATCTTTTATTGTTTTCAGATTTTCTTGCCTTTGTTATACAAAGATGTTAAATAACTTAAATACATTCTTACCAGTCATTCATGATCAGTTTATACCTACAAGCTATACACATGAGGTAGAGGAAAATAATTTAGAGGAAAATAGTTTCCCATAAGACAAGAAAAAGTGGACAAAGACAAACTACTGAAAAATCTCTGCCCTTAAAAGAAAAAGAATGCATTTTAATAGTTGCAGCATTGCACAAACCCTGACAAATATCAGAATAGTGACCAGGCCATTAGAATTTAAGAGAGAGAAAAAAAATAACATTGGTCAAATTCTAAGTGTCTGTGATCCACTCTTAATGAATGTAAGTCTAAACAATGAACTCACTTGCTGGTTCTTAACGTTATGTTTATTTAATTTAATAATCAATATAGTACTATAAAATTGTTCAGTATTACCATTTTGCTACAAAGAATGAGATTGCTACAGCTAACTGGGATATATATATATAGTCTTACTGTGGGTGTTGAAGTTTAGTATTGGTTACATGCTAATATTCTTACTCTTTGGTATGTATTCCTTATAATGAAATAAGGAAAAGTTGCATTTCAGACGTAAAAGCAGAATTAAAATTTAGAGTGTTGGCATTTGTCTTTATCTTGGGGGAATTATTTATTTTGACGATCAGGAACAATTACACTGAGAGGGGAAAAAACATACCTCAACCCCAAAAAGCAAAAACCCAATTATAGGCCAAATGCAAGACAGAGAAAAAATATATAGAAAATCATCTTGAACTTTACAAAATGTACAAATAACACATGCTCATAAAACATTTAAAAAATAAGTTATATATTGTCTCTGTGTCCTTTTCCCCCTACCAAATACATTTTATACAGGTTGCATTGGAAAGTAAGATTAAGGAACCAAGACAACAACAACAACAAAAAAAGAAAGAAAATGAAAATCTAAAAAAAGCCTTCTGTCAATGAAAAAATATGACTGATTACTGAGAACATGCAGCATGCCAAAAATGCAACTATATATGATATCTACATTGTAGGTCAAAATACTTATTGAGCTGTGATGTGAACAGGCATCTGAGGAGAATTGCATCTCATATGTATGTCATTGCTGTTTTCTGTTCACCTCTTCTGTGAGCAGACGCCATGACTGATGAAAGACTAGGTATAGCCATTATGGTTTCCATGTAGTGTGCTAAGGTGTTTGTGTTTCCAAGCATTCTTTAATTTATAATAATGTCTCCCCATCAACTACTTGGAATTCAGCTCATTAGTTTAAATGAAATAAAAAATGGGTAACAGAATGGTTGTTTTAAGCCTTTATGTATAATGCATTTAAAGGTATTCATAATGTACATTATAATGCATTATATCTTTTCATAAATAACTGTAACCAAAGAAAAAATGCATTATAATATTAGCAGATTCTTTGTTACATCTGAAATTGGTTGTTTGTCATGTATTATAACTGTGGTTACAATTATTCATGAGTCCATACAATGCATTATAGGGTGCATACAAATTCATTTCAGATTTAAAAATGCTTTTATAATGCATTATACATAAAGGCTTTAAGTCAAGTGTTACCAAAAATGAATCCCTTCTCAGACAGAATTATTTCCTATGTCATCGTACACCCCTTGTTTTTCTATTTAATTTTTGCATCAAATTATTCTCTGAATTATTTGTATTACTATCAGTATGGAATATCAGCATTTTTGGCAGGCATATATATAAACATTTTTACTTTAGATTGTATGCAAATTTGCACAAGTAGATGTATCTTGTTTTATGGATGTTTCGATATTTTTACTGGGATACAAGACAAAATAATAATACAACGATTTGTTTTGTAGTGCTGTCATGTTTGACTTTTTCATATTTATGTGGATGTATATTTTTAGTTGAGCATTTGCTTATCTTCAATGTATCACCAAAACATTACTAGTTGAATCATCCACCATATGTTTTCGCAACATTTGTTCAAAAATTAACAAAAAGTATATTTGCTACTTTTAAAGATTTGACACAGATAAGATTTAAAATAAAAAACAGTGCTTTCCAGATGACACATACTTTCACAGAGATCATAGCGACATAGGTGTGCTTTCTGAGGATAATTTCGTAACAGCATAACATTTATTTACAAAGCACTGAACTTGGCACTTCATACAAAGTTTTGGGGAAAAACAGTTTGAGTTTGAATTTAATTGAACTTAAAACATCAAGTTAGACAGATCTAAACATCAGTATTCTGGAAACTTTTGTCCAAATGCATGTAAGCGGTATGCATGTGCCTCACTTTTGTCTGTATGCCACAGGATCATAACCATAGCTATTTACAACTTTAAAAAAAATAATAAATAAAAGATTTTCCAAGCTTCAGTGCGTGAATGGTGCCATTTTTTTTCTTTTTGTCGGTCTCTCACTCAGTAGTTCATTCACACTAAACTAAAAAAATAAAGAGCATATATAATTCATTTATATATTTTGTCATATCTTTGTTTCTATATAATTTATTTACACTAAGTGGATCTCAACAGAGTTTGGTGATCTGAATACAAAGTCATACATTGTCAAAATTCTGTGTTTTAAATTATTAAAAGTCTGATCAGAAACTTAGATCTTGTCATTAGGTCACACAGCGGTATTCTCCATCCCAGCTGTCATGTTAAATAATTTTCAAAAATATGGAACTTCAATGTTCTATTTTACAATATATGGACTTCTACATCCATATATTAAAAAATGTTGTGTTCAGCCTCTCAACAATTGTGAATAGATTCAATGTAACAGTCATTTTAGAAGAACCACTGATCGATTTACGAGCATGGGCATTTGAATCTAAAAACTGTCCACCATAATTTTCCAACATCAATATCTGCAAAATGCATTATCTCTGAGGTTAATTATTTCCCCCTAGAAATACATTGCAGAAAAGGGGAACTTTCTTTCTTTCCAACGCAGATTAGTGGCCCACATTTGCTGTCATGTTTATTCTCAACTTTTATTTGCTCCCTCCAGTTGTCTGTGAAACTGACAGAGCATTAAGTGACCATGAACCATAGCATATTTCATATTTAACTAGCATTGTCCTGAAAAGCACTGCTACAACGATTACAGCATTGAATCAGCAGCTTTAAATGAGGATGGACAGATCTGTCATCAAGCGGAAGCCTAAATCATGGAGACTAATGCTCATTGTGATATCTCCAGGATTTCTTTACCATCGAATGGTGCATAGTGGTTTCACTTGTTCCCTGAACAGTCATTTGTAGAGTTCATTTAAGGCAGAGTTAAATCTTAAATAGACTGGCAAAGACTTCCACTGTCAAGCAAAAGAAAAAAAAGTAAAAGCAAATCATTTTCATTCCTTGCAAGAACTATTCCTTGCGGTGTTCCACAAATTATATCCACAGAAAAACACAAATCAAAAGTATTGCTTTCCTAAGGGCCTTGTCAAAGAGAGAGATACAACACAAATGCAAGCACACAAACAATAAAACATTTGTGTGGTTAGTGGTTATTTAACATACTCAGATAAGTGGTGTATATAATAGAATTATAATGTAATTTTATCTATGTACATATGCATACACACTCTTGTGTGGGTGTAGAATACATGTGCATGTAGAATAAATCTGACACCATTTTGTCATTGCAAATTCCATCTCCAAATTAAATCATTTGGAATTAAGTCACATAGAAACACATACTCTTACACATACGGCTTGAGACATTTCAAGCTATTATTCAAATCATTGGATCAATAATTGTCTGTCCAAGACTGGACTTTACCGCTGATTGATATTTTGGCAGACAAATTACTCTGTGAAATGTTTAATTTAGTTCCAAAGTGTCGCTTAAAACTGTAGACCATTCCCTTAGGCTTGGTATATTACACAGCTTTCACACTGCTCCACATGGAAAACAGAAAAAATTATATAATAATAATAATAAAATAAAACGCCCTGCAAAACCTCTCAAAAAGTGCTTTCATCGTTTTTTTTAAACTAATTTGATGCCTTTGAGACCTTTCCCCAAACTAGGACAAGGGAATCCACCTAAACTTTTCACTTCTTCTTTCTTTTTGCCTTCCACTCATTCATTTCTCTCCACTGTTCCTAGACTGGTGAAAGATATTCTGCATGATTGTGATGGTTTTTACCCCTTACAGGTGTAAACCTCTTCTCTTTGTGTGCACTGTTTGCATTCAACATAGCAGCACCAGCGCACCTGGCACTGGCACGGTCTCGTCACCACTCGGCTCTGAGTGTTGTGCCCCCTGCCACAGCAGATGGCCTCGCAGTTCTTATCCTTGTAGCATTTGCGGGCCAAGGTGCCTGCTGAATATTTGCTAAGCCTGCAAAAATTCGGCGAGTCCTCAATGTGAAGAAGATCGGGGGTGCGGGGAATGAGGTCCGGTCGAGGGCCTGGAGGGGGCTGTTGCCCCTGGGATCGGGTCTGGGAGATCTCCCCCTCCCCAGTTGCCTCATTGGTGGAGCTGGCCACTTTGACTGAAGTCTCGTAACGCTGTTTGAGCTGCTTACCAATTTCATGAAAGGGTGCCAGCTGCCTCCAGCATGTTTGCACGGTACACGAACCTGAAACTCCGTGACACTTACAGGTGGTCTCCACCCCAGCCTTGATGACCTGTGCGGGACAAATGTTAAAAGAAGTTAGACGACGCACATCAAAGGTATTATAGTTTTACCAAACATCAACATGTATGTCTCCAATTATCTCAGCAGACACAGCACAGAGCTCAGCTGCGATACATGAAAGACACAGTAAGTGCAGTGTTTACCAAACCCTTATGTTACCCCTTATATTGAAAAATCTTTAAAGGTCAGTTAAACTGATGGGCAATGTTATTTACAAAACAAGTATTTCAAAAGCACATTGAGGCAATAACTTTGATGTTCCCACATAATTTGATTGCTGTAACCCTTTCCAAGACTGAAAAACAATATAATACAGGGCACCGAGGAGTAGGTATTATCCTCATTCTTACTTAATTGCCATAATTATGGCTTTATCAAAAGCAGCATCAGCTGTCATGGAATATCTGCGCTTTAAACAGTCAGTTATACAAGGATACACTTTTTTAAAAGAAGTTTGACCAAATCAATTCTTATTATGATAGCCATGGTAACTTTAAATTCAATCACAATATGCTAAGTGGAGTTTAAAAAAAAATGTTTTTAAGGAATTAAATAACCACTGATATGCAACAAAGTAGAGTTGTTGGGTTTCCATTAAGGAAATTCTATAGACATAATGATTTTTATAATGTATAAACTGTATATTCTATCCCATAATAATATCACAGACACCTTTCTGCATTTTTAGATTTTCAAATAATAATCACTTGATTATGTATTGATTATGAGTATGATTTATAAGCTGTTTTCCTCATGGGGAATAAAAAAGCCACACAAGGAGAATAAAAAAATTAAAAATGCCCCGCTTGCAATCATCTATATAAAAGCAGTGAATACCGACCAGCATCAAGGGGCTATATGATGCTTTTTAATGTTTTCCTTTTCCTTTAGTGTGTAATGTATCTGTGTGTGAATATAAGATCTGCAAATTTACAAAGTTCATAGTCTCCCACAAAGAGTGTATGCTATCTAACAGAGAACACTGCTCCAGACCGGCCTAAACCCCCTTGATCGAAGTCTAGATAGTACTTCTGCAAACATCTGTCACCATTATGTTTAGTTTAATTCAGTTCAAGGACTTTCAGTTTGCATTTCTTCAGTTCATGCCTTCCTTTGTTTGATTTCCTGCCTCTCTTTAGTTACTATGGTCAAGTCATTATTAGTTCCTTTGTTTCAGCTGTGTTCTATTTACCTTGTTTAGTTCGCTATATAGTTGTACCCCTATCTTCACTCTTTGTCTGGTCTCGATCACCTTTTTTTGAGTCCATAACTGAGAACTTTATTCATCTGTCTTCGTCTGTCTGCCTGCCTGCAAACACCTTATGACAACGTCTATTTCACAATGTTAAATATTAGCATAATGCCCACCCAAAGGCATACGTAAAGAAAGAAGACGAGGCTTCAGTGAATTGTAGTGTTGCTACCATGTTGTGGAGACGTGTTTTGATGCTGAAGCAAACACCTTTGACTGGCCTTGCAAAAGTGGATGAACTTACAAATCCATGGTTAAGATTTGTTGTTCCTTATCAATACAACCCAAAAGTTACAGAGCTGCAGCGTGTTTTCTCCCAGCTACCTGAACCTTGGAGAGTACAATGCCGGCTATATACACCTGGTAACACTTTACAATAAGGTTCATTAGTTAATGTATTAACTAACATGAACTAACAATGAGCAATACATTTGTTAAAGTATTTATTAATCTTTGTTAATGTTACTTAATAAAAATACAGCTGTTCATTGTTTGTTCATGTTAGTTCACAGTGCATTATCTAATGTTAACAAATACAACCTTTGATTTTAATAACGTATTAGTAAATGTTGAAATTAATATTAACAAAGATTAATAAATGCTGAAGAAGTATTGTTCATTCTTAGTTCATGTTAACTAAGGTTGTTAACTAATGAACCTTATTGTAAAGTGTTACCATACACCTAAATAAATTAGAAATATACACTACAGTAAAAAAAAATTAAAAACTGTATTTTATGTTGTCACTTGAGGACATACAATTTTTACTGTGAAGAAGACAAATTAAACCGTTATAACATCATATCTGAAAGGTAAGAGAGTTTCTAAATAAAAACTTACCACTGTGAAATGTTCTGGTTTTGATCAATCTGCTTCTATTCTATTATTAACTGTGTTTACAGTTACTTTAGAAGCCTTGGAAGCTGAAGTTCACGATTATGGTAAGGGACGTTACATTTCCAACACACGCTTGAGGTTTTTAATCTTTAATCAGGGTTTATTAAAACACGACATGAAATAAAATCCATGTACTTTCTTCTCTTATGTGAATATATCTGTTCGCAACAAGAAGTTATCGTGTTCACATCTGTCAACTGTCATTCTGACTGTCATCTGACAACTAGAGTTCCAATCAGGAGATGAACTTACAAAAAGAAGAAAGTACACAGATACTTTTTTAAATCTTGATTTCTCACAACTTTTGTGAGAAATCGGAGTCGGAGAAATTGAGTCGGAGTGAACTGTGGCACTAATAGAATCTTGCAAACTAATTTCAGTTTGTTTTTTTACCAAACCCTATCATATTCCCCCAGAACACTTGTAATATCTGACACGTGTAGTAGCAATTTATTCTGTGATACTTTTACATTTAAAAAAAATATATTGATGCTGATGAGCGCGAGCGGGACATTTCTTTTTTATTATTATTAGTTCTCCCTTGGTGGTCTGAAAAAGAAAGAAAAGCATACTGCAGGGTGAGTAAATGATGACCTATTTTTCATTTTAGAGTGAACTGTCCCTTAAATTTCATGTTATGCAGAGAGCATTACCAACCACAATGTTTGATCCATTCAACATTTCTGTAAGAAAGTGAACCTTACGATAAGCATAAAAAGGCGCTGTCTGGACAGTTTCTCTTGAACCAGTGGTAGACTTGTTCAACAAAAACTGCAAATCCACCACAAAGAAAGGAGAGGAAAATGTGTAACGTCAGCTTTAAAATGCAGGTGATGCCGAGGCTAGCACATTCCAAGTTTGTTCTCCATATGGGATTTGACCCCAAACCCCTTACACCTCCTTACATGTGCAGATGGACCAAAAATGCAGTGTTGTAAATCTCTTATCGCAGACAAAATGGCCCGAGGATGACTACTTCAGATGGACGAGCAAAGAGTCCTGAGCCTCTGCTGAGCGGTGCTGTAATTTATATTCATTCTAAAACTAAAACTAACAATATGAGACAATATGTTGGTGCCAGACCTGTAGTTTACTTTGGCTCTATGTTATGGGTCTTTTTCTGTACCTTCTTTTTTTTGTTTTTACTCTTACAATGTTACCTCGGCTCTTTCTCTTACCAAAAACAATGGAGGACTTGGACAAACTTAGTGCTCTTTAGACTGAAAGTGAAACCAAACCTTGATTAAAGGGCATTTATTATAAATTACTGAATTAAAAAGTACATTTAAGTGATTTAAAATGGGTCTTTTACAGACTATTTAAGAGACCGTAAAGAATGTGTGAAGCTTTTAACCACAACAAAGAAAGAAAGAACGCTAAGTGATACAATCAACTACAGTATATTGTGTGCAGATAACTCCAAGTTTCTCATGCATGTTTCTTTCACACAACATTTCTCACATTATTTATGATTCCCATTTTAAAGACAGTTTTGCTTGTGACGTTCAGGATCAGTACACCTGATCCAAAAAAAAAAAAAAATCACCCCCATAAACATAAACGTACTAACCGGACAAATACGTTCTAATTTATATCTTAGCAGCCTACCTTCATTCCTACATTGCTGTTGTGCATGTCTATCCGGGCGCGGAGGTCCTTGTTGGACCTCTTACCCAAGAAGTCTTTGACAAATTTGTTGCTGTACTTGAGGTTGTCTCCACAGCCACCCCACTGCCAAGCCTTGCGGTTCTCCAGGTCAGGAGCCTCATCACAGGTGCAGCGCTCCATGCGGCCAGCGCTGCAGGCTTTGGCCATGGCGTGGGTCAGGCCTGCTGAAGAGATGGCATAGAGGAATGCCGTCTCTTTGAAGCCTGCAAGGAACATGGGGATTATGAGGCAGCCAATAGTTCATTACTGACCTGCAATCCTGTGATTTGTCCTGTGATTTTATGTTGAATTTCACCCACAGGGAATGCTAGTAACAGCACCAAACTCACCTTGCTCTTACTTTTGTTCAGCAAGGAAGCATTAAATTAATCTAAAATGACAGTAAAGACAATTATGATGTTACAAATGATTTCTATTTCAAAATAAATATTTTTATTTAAACTTTCTGTATTGTGGGTACCACACTTTTTGGTGTCTTGAGTACAGTAAATCAGCTTATTAGAACGATCTCTTAAGGATCGTGTAACACTGAGACTGAAGTAATGGCTGCTGATGGAGCTTTGCCATCACAGTAAAACAAAAAAGGTCAATATTAAAATAAAAGTATTTACTTGCCAAAAGTTGAGATAACTTTTTTAAATTTTGTCAATTTAAATACATTGGAAAAGTCAACTGGATAAACGGTTAACTTAAAAGTGCCCCTATTATGCTTTTTTGGATATTACCTTTCATGTAAAAGATCTGCAAAATTTCAAAGATCGAAATGCACAATAAATGGAGTTATTGTTTGCTAAAAGAAAGAACCGATTCTGAACTGCCCGAAACAAGTTGTCAGAAATTCCGGTTTTACTTCCTGCACAAACCTACGTAGGTTTGTAACAAATTGCATAATGCCAGCCTATGGTCTCCATTGGCTCCCCACAAACAGAATCTACTCCCCACAAACAGAATCTACTCTGCTCTCAAACACTGTAGTTGTAGCTGAGGCATTTGTACTAAGGAAGCCTACAGAGCTGGTAATGGATGTTTCATAGACCAATCACAACAGACTGGGCTATCAGAGCCGAGTAGGCTCTCGGAAAGGAGGGGTTTATAGAGCCCACCAAATAAGTAATTGTATAGATCGCACACTACTTACCTCTCTTTAAAATGTGAGCCCTGTAGCGGCCCTCCAAGGTGCAGTTCCATCTCTCAAAGCGGAACTGGTACTGGCACTCTAAGGCACTCATGCTAATGGCCTCCATGAGAGTTTCAGCCACTCCAGGGTCCCGTCTGCACATTCTGCGCTGTTTTTTCTCCAGTTTGAGTCGATCACACAGCTTGTAGTGTGCCTTGCCGGCCCTTTCGTCTGGCTGTGAGGTCAGTGGCAGAATGGACAGGGGTTCATTACCTGTCAGCCTATAAGAGAGATCAATGAGACAAATATCATTACTGTTACTGGGAATTGTTAAAAGGAAATGATTTGTTGGTATGATGGCATATATATATATATATATATATATATATATATATATATATATATATATATATATGAATGTCAGAAGGGATGTGTCAGCCACTAGCCTTTACCATTTAGAAAAGGTTGTGTCCCAAACAAAGACAAAGTTAGTTAAAGGGATACTTCACCTCTGGAAAGATGAATGTGTATTTAAAATGGGTCATTTATGTAGAAGAAATGTGAAATTATTTTTGAATTTGGAGCTTTCTAGACTGAGAAAAGCCAGAAAATGTATTTTTGGCTTATGTGGATGAAAGACAACAACTCCCAGAATGCACTTGCTTTGCTGCCCTAGGAGGCCACGCCTACCGGTAACAGAGCGCAGTAGTTAAACAACAAGTCTAGGCTACTAGTGAGTCTCCGTGATGAGTCTGCCCGAAAATGTGTTTCGAGATCGCCCAAAATGTCCGGAATTCGGCTTTTGCGTTCTACAGTCGCTATTCATTATGTTTACTGTGGCGAGCAGGACGAGGCTAGGGCCACGGGAGAACGGCACGAGGCCGGTGGCGTGATTACCGATGAGCGACACCTGTGAGACGCACCGGTCTCGTATCTCTCACGGAGGAGCGGGAATTTTCTTAGCAATGTTAAAACGCACATCAACCGATCACTTGTTTAACGTTCATGTAAACACTACATTCAGATTCACCAATCGGAATTAATTCAGTTAGATTGAAACAAAAGCTGTGCATGTAAACAATGAATGGCGACTGCAGAAAACTAAAGCTGAATCCCGGACATCGACGGCCGGACATGTCCGGGAAAAAGAGGATGGTAACCCCTACTACTCAGCTTTCTCCACAGAACAAGAGCCTGCTAGCTTAGCTTCCAAAAAAAGATGGCTAACACTATGTGTACATTATGTGAGTGAGATCCCACCCTCTATGGGCAGGATGAAAACATGCGGAACAGCCCCTACTACTGACTGTAGTCTTTAGCCTCTGGTCAAAAAATCCTCCGATGACGCAAAATGACGTTTTTTGCGTCATCGGAAGATTTTTTCCAGACAAAAAATACATAAATCTCTCGTCTCAGGGGGATATGAGGGTGGAAAGCATGGTAATTCGAAAATACTACAGGTTTTCTACTAATACAAAGCCCTTTAATATATAAACAGTTGTGAGGTACAGTTTACAGTTACTGTGATATATGATACCGTTATTGTGATATAAATACACTCTACACATAGAACCAAGCTGTTTGTCTGGGCAATGCAAGTTCAAATCTTATTCAGATTATTTCCTGATCCTATTCTGCTCTCTGTTTTATAAAATTTCCTTCTTTTTTTTCTTTCTTTTCTCTGAAATTACAGCTGTTCTTAATGTTGGCCGTTAAGTGAACTGCAGCCAGCAACTTATTGCTCATGATCGCACTCATGCACACACTCCATAGTGACTCGAGCTAGCCTTGGATGACCAAATCAGTCACATAATGTACAAGACTGAACGTGATTCAAGGCCCCGATATACTCGCTGCGCAGTTTTTGTTCTCATTCTTCGCTTAGAATTAAAAAGAAGTTGGATATACCTTTGCAGCGATGTACTGTTAACGAACATTCTGACATCGTCCACGCTGCTGAGAGCGACGTTTAGATGAATATGTAAATATGTGCCACAAGCTTTCCTCTCGGTAACTAAATAAACACACACAACAAAAATGACAGTTAAGCCAACACATTCTCATCCCAAGGCGTCATCTAACTGACACTTTTGACCATGCGTCAACATGCCGACGCACATGGTACCCTTTAAGCGTCAATATGAGACGCTCATCCTCGGGCGTCATCTAACTGACGCTTTTGACCATACGTCTAAATCCGACGCACATGGCACCCTTTAGCGTCAGTTAGATGACGCTTCCGTTATGGGTAGGTTTAGGTCTGGGTTAGGGTTAGGGTTAGACCACTAGGAGGCGCGTTTCATATTGACGCTTAAGGGGTACCATGTGCGTCGGCATGTTGACGCATGGTCAAACATGGTCAAAAGCGTCAGTTAGATGACGCCTTGGGATGAGAACGGGTTGGTTAAGCAGTTAAGAAAGCATCTGATCATAGCGATTTACTTCCTGCACAAACCTACGTAGGTTTGTAACAAATTTGCATAATACCAGCCTATGGTCTCCATTGGCTGCCCACAAACAGAATCTACTTTGACCCGCTCTCAAACACTGTAGTTGTAGCTGAAGCCTGGAAGAGTTTGGTTTGTATTGTTGACATGACGAGAAGATTCTGTTTTCATGTGCTGCAAAAGCAAATCCATGGTGACTTGAATGAGCTGATAAAGCTGCACAGGTTGACCAGTAGGTTTATTAGTTTATAGTGGCCCCCTTTCGAGATAAAACTGATTTGAGTGGAATAACGTATAGTACTTGGGTCCAATACTGACAATAGTTGGACCCCTATGTTTGTATGTGTATGAATGGAAGTAAAAGGAGCTTAAAGTGTGACTGTGGCTTAAATGTGATACTATCAGTCCAGACAAATAAGAACTACTTTAGAGTTCCTGCTACATAACTGAATGAATGAAAGGACAAGCCCGGCTTCACCTCCAGGAAGGAAAAATTAAGGAGGGGTGCTTTGGGCACTTTTTTATGTGCGCCCTGTCAGCTCAATAGCATGAATGAATTCTGATGTGGTTAATGTTCTCAAATGTCTAATGCCCTATGGAAAACACCATTCTAGTTCAAAAGTTAATGTTTGTATGAACCTACAGTACACTGGGCTTCACTTTATCTACTGTCCAGCTCTGTGCATTTAGCAGCGGTTCTCAACTCTAGACCTGGGGACCCACAGCACTGCACATTTTGTATGTTTCCTTTGGGCCCTATCATACACCAGGTGCAATGCAGTGCCAGGCGCAAGTGTTTTTTGCTAGTATCCGCCCGACGCATTTATCCTTTTCACGTCCAGCGCCATGTTGTTTAAATAGCAAATGCATTTGCGCCCATAGGCGTGCTGGTCTGAAAACCCAGGTGTGTTCAGGCGTACTATTGGCGCTTTGCTATTTTGAGGCCACTGAAATCAATTTACCAACAAAAACCTGGTCTAAAGTCAATGGCGCAATATTTGTTTTGTTATTTAAAGAGCGCGTTAGTAATGTGCGCCCTATAGGCGGGTCCACAACATGCGTACACTCTGCTTATCACACACAGGGCACGTGCAGTAGCACACAAACATGCCAAACATTGAAAATAAAAGGGAATTGGAAATTACACTCTGATTGTTTTTTTTTTTGCACGTTATGCCCAAAACACACCCATTACTCATTAAAGGAGTAGTTCACTTTAAAATAAAAATTAGCCCATTATTTATTCACCCTCAAGCCATCCTAGGTGTATATGACATTCTTCTTTTAGACGAATACAATCGGAGTTATATTAAAAAATGTCCTGGCTCTTCCAAGCTTGATAATGGCAGTGGATTGCAACCAACAGATTGAAGCTCAAAAAAGTGCATCCATCTATCATAAACGAACTCCAAACGGCTCCTGTGGGTTAGTAAAGGCCTTCTGAAGCAAAGCCATGAGTTTGTGTAAGAAAAATATTAATATTTAACACGTTACAAAGTAAAATTCTAGCTTCCGGCCAACCACAGTCTACTTACGCCTTAAACGCAACTTGTGACGTCAGAAGTAGCGTAGTGCGTCATGGCATAGCGTAAATATCAGCAGTACATCGCATTAAGCCTAGTTCACACTACATGATTTTAAAACGTCGGGCTGAACTGTGCGGTTCACACTACATGACTTGCTCTCTGTGAAATCAGGAGTGTTCAAGTTGTTGAGCTACTAGTTCACACCACATGAAACAACGTGATTGATTCGCAACAGGAGGTAACGCACTACACGAGTTGACAACAACTCTGTCACCCAACGATTCTATCTTGTCTACAAACCACGTTTTGTCACGAAAAATCATCCGATAAAACGAACCGGAAATGACGCGAAACAGCACGCGCGCCAATACCCAGCGAAGAAGACGAAGAAGAACACAACACGCGAACATGCCTTGCTCTGATTGGCTGTAGCTCATGACATCGCGTGAGCTTGAGTCGTGTGCGACAGCTCTGGATATCTAGCATGCTAGATATTTTTCTGGGCTCGGCGACGCGTCTGCGAGCGTCTTTGAAGCGTTGTTGGCTCTTTCATACTAACAGATTGGTGAGCGTTCATCGCCCGCTAATCCCCTGCAATTTGCACGCGATAACACCCTGACCTGTCGGCGAGCTCAACGATTTGCAAATCGGGCTTAAAATCATGTAGTGTGAACTAGGCTTTACTCGCATAAGTTGCGCATTACACTTAAAGGGATAGTTCACCCAAAAATAAAAATTAGCCCATGATTTACTCACCCTGAAGCCATCCTAGGTTTATATTACATTCTTCTTTCAGACGAATATAATCGTTATATTAAGTTAGATTAAAAAAGTCCTGGCTCTTCCAAGCTTTATAATGGGAGTCAATCGGTATATTTTTAAGTCCATCAAAGTGCATCCAAGCCTGATAAAAGTGCTCGAAACGGCTCTGGCAGGTTAATAAAGGTGTTCTGAAGTGAAGCGATGCGTTTGTGTAGGCCTTCTTGTACTCAAGAAGGCCTTTATTATCCCCCCGGAGCCGTTTAGAGTTCGTTTATGTCGGATGGATGCACTTTTTTGAGCTTCAATCTTTTGGTTGCAATCCACTGCCAATTCATTCATTCAGTTATGTAGCAGGAACTCTAAAGTAGTTCTTATTTGTCTGGACTAATAGTATCACTTTAAGCCACAGTCACACTTTAAGCTCCTTTTACTTCCATTCAAGCTTAGAAGAGCCAGGACATTTATTAATATAACTCCGATTGTATTCGTCTGAAATAAGAAAGTCATATACACCTAGGATGGCTTGAGGGTGAGTAAATCATGGGG